GCCAAGAAGCAAAGTTCTAATTTTTTGAAATGGAAGTTGGTGGAGATTGTATTGCAGTCTGTAAATAGAAGTTGGGATTGTTTCTAATTTGATCAAGAGATATGCAAGAAAATTAGAGTTTGGGCGTGAAAAGAAACAGAAGCTTAGCAAGTTTTTGTATTTATGCTTTTAGTTTCCAGTTCCTTGAAATTTCAGCAAGGTTTCAAGGCTAATTTTCAAATTCTCGACTCTTTACAGTTGCAAATGAAGTTCAATTTATGGGCAAGGATTTTGGAGCTTGGAGAAGCCAAGAGTACAACCATCATGCTAGGGAGTTGACTTGTTCTTGAAGACAGTTAAACAAGTATGGTGGTTAGCAGCTTTAGCCGCGCTTAATCTGAATTTATAAGCATGAATTAAGGAAAAGTACCCTTAGAGGCAAAAGCAAAGCATGGGCCCAACATAAATTTGTACGAAAGTTTTTTTTTTCAAGGACAACAATGGTACTTCTATCTCACACGTGGGGAAATCCTTTGGATAAAGACTCAAAAGTGGATGTGAGCATTAAATAATGATGAGATTTGTCAAAACAAGAACCTGCAATATGAGATTATGTATCATAGCTTAATCTATATCAGCAGTTCAGCATCAACGCAACTTAGAACAAATATCCAATCTTCTGATCTTTGAATCTCCTTGCTCCAGCATGTTCTGAAGGAGTTCTTAGATTTTTCATAAAGCTTGTAACATGCTTTGTAGACTTTCTTTGAATTACTCTTGCAAACTCTGGCTGAACCTACGTGAAAACTGGCCCAGAAGTTGTAACCAAATTTTGTCTTGGAAATGTCCAGAATTTGCTGAGTGTTTTAGTTTCAGGGACGTGTCTTCATGGATGTATAACTTGAAATCCCAACATTTCTAGGAGAAGTTCTATTTTGTAATGTTTTAGATCTCATTGAGATCTACAACTCTCGTGTTATAAGTTCTTCCTAAATCAACTTGCATCATGATGAAAATCTGGCCAGAAGTTCTGAATTGTCATATTTTTTAAACACTTAGAAAAATTTCTAAGTATTTAGAATTTTGACTTTTCCAAAGCAAATTTGACTTTTGATTTTTTTGATGAAACAAATTTCATATTCCAACCTGTCTTGATGAAATTTAATTCTTGAAACTTGATTTTGATCCAAAAGTCAAAGTTTGACTTTTCAGTATGCAATTGACCATTTTGCCCTTGTGCCAATTCCAGGCCTAAATTGATGTATCAGTGTTGTAAACTTGATGTCGTATGAGATCTTGCGAGAGAATCTTTGAGAAATAAGAGGGAAAATTTTGGGGTACAACACAAGTCATGGCACCTTTCCTCAGAGTGGTCAGGAACAACCTACATTTGATTGCGCCCTTCACGCCTCGGTAATCCAGCGGGGCATTGATGTCTTCTATGTGGTTGTCTGGGTCGGTCATGTTGTCGTAGGATCCCAATAGGGGCGACTTCTCGAGCTCGACCGGGAGTCATGCCTCCACTATTTCTCTCGATAACGGGCCGCAGGGCTCGTCGTCATCGTTCTCTTATGGTGATGATAACAGGTAGTGATGTTTTCTTCCTTGTCAGGCATCGTCACCTCGTCGAGGGGCCCCGCCCTTGTCGCCTTGGTCTAAGGGATAGTGACCTGCTACGGTTATCTTTGCAGGTGCTCTTCGTCTTCTTGGAAAGTGGAGAGTCTTTATCCTTCTTGGGAAATGCTCAATAATGCTTCTTGCAAAAAGAAACTTCGAGCATTTCCTTTCTTGGAAGACGCCTCTCTTAGAGAGGTGATATGTTGGAGGAGTTATATTGTCAGTGTCTCTGAGGGGGAGACCTTGAATTTTTACGCTACAGAGCCCCTATCCTTTTTCTCTGCTAGAGGATGAGGGAGTTGGTTCAGTTAAAGGCAGCGATCAGTGCTGCTATGGTTGGGTCGACGCTCTGCGAAACGGGGACCGGTTCCAGAATATTAGGCTTGTCTTCGACAAGGTTCTTGGGAACCTGTTCATCCAATAATAGATTTTTGTCACAATCAGCATCGATGGAATCTGAGGACGCAATATGTTCGTCATGGACGCCAAAGTTATCCTCGAGGTGAGGATGTTCTTGGCTTTTGTCGGTCTTGCATGTCAGGGAGAGCACAGTCTTTCCAGATAGGTGGTGATCATCATGGTCGGCCATGATTGATGAATGAAGAGGATCTTTGGTCTTTAGATTCCGGGAAACAGAAAATGGGGAAGATAATTTTCCACAGTCGACGCCACTAATATTACCAGTTGATCAGAACCTGCAAGGTGGCCAGATGATGATCTTCAGACAGGCTGGAAAATCGAGGAGGAAAATAGGGGGTTATACCTGCAAGGCACTCCGATGATAATGTAAATGCGGGAGCAAAAGAGATACAAGTAAAGTGTTAGGTTTTTAGTGATGAATAGTGGATATTCGATACCTGATCCTCACATGAGTGAAGGTTTATATAATTCCCCTGGCACTTGGCCATTGGTCTCTATTTTTGGGCCTAGATATGCGGGTCCGTAAAAATAGGTAACTTCCAGGACTTGGTCAAACCGGGCAGGTGTGCATGTAAATAACTGTTAGTTCCAAGGGGGAGGTAGGTTATGGGAAGTGGTCCGGTCGATTCCTAGTTGTCTGGCTGACTTGAGGTCGGGCAGACTGAGAGGCTCTCATCATTTCTCACAGGCCAGTGCTGGTTTAGGAGGGAAAACGATCGATTATGGCCAACAGAGGACGAGGGAGCCCGTGTCGTGGTTGCACAGACCGTGCCGAAGGAGGAGGTCAGACTGGGCCCACTCTAGCAGTCGGGCCAGTCCATAACAATAACCAACCCCCATACTTTGTCATTCCTTGCGAAAATGTCAGCTTACGTTTCTTCAACCGTTGATGCTCCGAGTTGTTACTTGATGTTGGTGCTCGGGAAAATCAAGTGGAAAGAGTTCCTTACTCCCACTTTGAGATCCAATGGACTCTTTGTTTGTTGTTAGGTCACACTCGATTTTGCTTTGGTTTTGGTTCAACTTTGTTTGATTGCACTTGTATTGTGCCTTTCTTTAAACCTTTATATGTTCCCTTAGGATTCACTTGTTTCATTTTCGATGCAAGTTAGACATTAGAATCGTAATCCATGCATGTTAACCTAGGTAGTGTTTTCCTTTCAAAATCAATCATAGGATCAATCATTATATGATAACATTAGGAATAGAGATAGATAGTTTTTCCTAGATGTTTTTCTTTCCCTTTTGCATGATTAAGACTAAAACCTTTTTCTTTGGCAAATTCATAAAACATTTAACATTTCTTAAATCCTTTTTCAAGGTAAAAAACACCAAACGTACGCAAACATTTTTGTCTTCGGACTTTTTCTTTTAAAACCTTTTCAGAAAGGACTTGCTTCGATAGCATCATTCATAAAAAATATGCAACGAACCAAAATTTTGAGCCGAACTACGATGCTTTGTTTCCTTAACAAGGATATGTAGGCATTTGGTCGTGGGGCCCAGGCGAGCGAAAATTTGTAAATATTCATTCTTTTCCCCGTGTTTTCTTTTGCATGCATTCCCTCTTTTCATTTTTTCTTTAGCTCGTAAGCTTTAGATTTAAATACACCCTTTGATTAGAACAACAAGAGTGGATCCCGTGGAGTACCATAGACGTGAGGGGTGCTAATATCTTCCCCTTGCGTAATCGACTCCCTTACCTGTATCTCTCAGTCGCAAGACCTTGATTTCACATTTCTCGGATTTATTCGATGTTTACCTTTCCCTTCCGGTGGGATAAAAAACATTCGATGGCGACTTCATTGATTTTCTCTCGATGATTTTTCCGCCGGTTGTTTCAATATCACTTTCGTAATTAGAGTTTGCACTAAAATATTTACATAACAAAAACACACATTACCATAACACATTCGAAAGCCCTAAAACTCAACAAAAACACACATTACCCTAACACATTCGTAAATTCTAAAATTACATAACACAAACACAATCCCCTAAAATTTTCCCTAAAACATTTACATGACTAAAACCTTTACAGAACAAAGATTTGCTCTAAAATATGTTACCTAAAACAAATAGAAAATTACTAACCTTTTGATAAATGCGTCTTAAGTCCTCCACTTCTTTGATAAATCCAACCCATGCGCCTTCTATATCGGATTCAATCTTTGATTTCACTTCGATTCCTCCCTTTGATTCGCCATCGCAACATCAAACATTTTAGGGCTTCTTTGTGAGAGTTTTATGGGTTTAAGAACAAGCCAATACACTTTTCATCATATATTATTTGTTATACCCACATCACCATGAAAAATGACAATTGAAATGTATTTACTAGCTTTGACTAACGATCACAGACGAAAGGACAAATGTGGCGTCATTTTGAAAGTTAAAGGACCAACACTTTTTTAAGTTAAGGACCAAACTGGACTCCGGAGTAAAGTTAAGGAACGAAAAATGATATTTTGCCCAAGAAAAATGCACAAGAAATTTATACTGGATCCATCGTCCATCAGACCTTCCTTCGTTATTTCATCGTATTCATCAATATTTTTATTATTTTCGACTTTTTGATTTCTAACAATTTCAAAATATTCTTTTTCTTTCTGCATCACTCAAAAATTTAAATATATACTTCTACGATTTGATTTGATTGAACCTTTCAATTTAACAATATAATACAAATTAACTATTATAATATAAAAGTCATTCCTTTATGTTTTATAATGTGGTATGCTGATTTTGAAAATTACTTCATCTATTATCAATCACATTAAAAAGTCATCCATACTTTCCAAAATTGAAACACGAAACAATAAATCTGATTTTACTTTAGAAATAGAGAGGCTAATTAAAATTTTAACTTAGAAAATTTAGAGATATTAAAAGTACATTGAAGCCATATTATTAGTAGTGAAACTTGAGAAATATCAGATTATTATAAACGTTATTACAAAGAAAAAAAGTGAGAACAACCTGAACTAAAGACTAATAATATTTGTTTTGGGTGGTTCAGTTGGATCAAATTCATCAACATCAACATTCTTAGAAAGCCTCAATAAGCTCCTCATAGGTAAAATAGCTTTTGGATTAACATCATGCATGGCCCTAGCAAATAAACACCTACATGCTTCACTTGCTGCTTCAAAGAGCATTGTATCCTTGTTATTAGGACCCAACAAACAATGTCCTAATATTCTTAATACCGGTTGCAACAATTCCCATGGCATTGAAACCCTACCCCTCTTATTAACACCACTTTTCTCTTGTTTCTCTTCTTCAACATCTTCCACTTCATCACCGTTATTATCATCGTCATCGTTATCTTCAAGATCGTCATCTTCGAAATCCTTATACATGTCACCATCTTCACCGGCCCAAATCTTACAGAAATTACAAAAATCAATCTTCGACGCGATTGTGAATTGCGAGATTTTGCTGTAGAACAACTCGAGTGCAACACCGACGATTCGCGCTCTTCGCGTGGATCGAACGGTACCGTGCGGCTCAAGCGAAGGAGATAAAACAGAAACGTTTAATTCAGTTGCATTGTTTTTATTTATAGTTGATTTTGATTCATGATAGACACTAGGGTGTGACATGTCAGGGATGGTAACGGTTACAGATTCACCTGCACGTGAGGTTGTTTCGTAGGCATAGAGAGCTAAGAGAACAGCTTCGAAACCGGCTTGCGGTTTTCGGTCCGCGACGCGGGAGAGGTAAACGCCGGCGATGATAGGGAGGAAGCGGATGACGTTGAGTTGGAGATCGGGGACGTTGGATTGGAAAGTGTCGTAGAGCCAGCGGCAGAGGTTGTTATCGCCGGAGCCGGAGTTGGGGTTACGAAGGAGGGTGGCGATTTGGGAGTAGATTTCGGGTTCGTTTAGGATGGATAGAGGGGTAGTGGTGGAGGTGATGGTGAGGGAGGGGTTGACGATGGAGGAGAGAGAGTGGACGGCGGATTGGATTTTTTCGGAGGTGTTTGGGGTGAAGGTGACAGAGGGGGTGGTGGGGGTGGCGGTGGGGGTGGGAGTTTCGTCGTCAGACATTGTGGGGGAGAGAAATAGAAGTTTGAGAGATAAGGTGGTGGTGGTGATAATGAATTGTGGTGTTTTTGTGTTAATGTTAATGAGAGGTAGAAGACGTAAGGCATGGAGTCAAAATAGGATCTTAATTGTGTTTTAATGTTATTAATATATTATCACTTTGAAAAGAATGCAAAATTCTTTCAAAAAAATGAGCACGTGAGAAAAGAACGAGGAGTTGCTACATTTTACTATTTTTTAAAATATATTCTTTCATAAATATTAATTGTTTAATTAATTAAAATAAATATTTAGATTAATGTTAATAGAAATGTATTTCGAATAATACGAATATATAATTATGTACTCCATTCATTTCAAATTACTATATGTTATTCTAATAAAATATATTAGTTCAAATTTCATATTATTTTATAAAATTACTATGTTATTAATTTTTTTTAATTCTCTTAACTTATATTTTTTCATACCGTCAATAATTGTATTTTGCACGTATAATCTTAATTACATTTTTAATTTTTGACATAAGGTTTAACTATAATTTGAAAATGAATGAAGTGTTATTGTTTTTAGTTTAAGAGCATTTTTTGTTCTTTAAAAAATAGTTATATTTCTTTCTATTCTATTTGTCTTATGATTCTCTCATATCAAATAATATACTAAATCCACTATATTTTAATTATGTTGAAATTTTCTTTGCTAGAATTATGTTAAAAATAAGTGTGTAAACTACTTAAAAATCACAATTGATTCTACATACACATCACTTACTTAATCATGTTAGAAGTAATTTATATTCATAAGATATTGTTAGAATTAGAAATTTCTGATGTATCACTCAAAAGCAGTGTTGCTCAGAAGACGTAGAGCTTCTGAAGTTGTTAGTCAGAAATTGTTATCAGACAGAAGCAGAAGCTTCTGATGCTACGTCCTGAAGTATGTTTAGCATCTGGGGTTCTAGTTCTTTTGTTAGCGTAGCTATTAAGTTTAGTTTGCTTAGTTATTAAGTTTACCTTTTGTTAGGGCCTACGTGAAAATTTATTTTGTGTATAAATAGACAACTGGTAGCTGTCATAAAAATGTTCAATCATTCTTCCTTACAACTTTATAGTCGTCATTGCAGAGCTTAGATATTATTCTCTTATACATTTTCTTCATTTATTATCTTTGTGCACTAACAATTGGTATCAGAGCTCCGGTTCTGATTCTTGGGAAATACGGGAAACACGAGTGAAACGATGAGGCGTTATGTGATTGATTTTGGTTCTTGAATTCATGTTGAATCTTGAACAAAATCTTAACAAAATCACATTTTCTGACTCTGTGGGATTAGGAAACACTGTGTTTATGAGATCTGAGTGTTTTGTACAAGGTTGAAGATGTCCGTAAATGGTAGTCTAAGCACCAAACTTCAAGTATTTAATGATAAAAACTGGAATCGTTGGATGATTTAGATGCGTGTATTGTTTGGCGCGCATGATGTTCTTGAGCTTGTTAAAAATGGTTATGTTATAGTTGCAGCAGATGCGACGGAGAAACAAAGAAACATGCAGAGAGATACAAGGAAGAAAGATCAGAAGGCATTGTTCTTCATCCATCATTGTGTGGATGAGAATGTGTTTGAGAAAATTGATGATTCGATGATGGCGAAGGTTGGGTGGGACACACTGAGTAGGTGTTACGGTTATAATGCATCAGTGAAAAAGGTGAAGCTCCAGTCTCTTAGAAAGCAACTTGAGAATCTAAACATGAAGGATAATGAGAAGGTTTTTGAGTACTTCTCCAAAGTGGTTCTGATCACTAATGAGATGAAAGCTTGTGGAGAAACTGTTTCTGAATAAGTAATCATTGAGAAGATATTGAGGTCGCTTACTCTTCAATTTGATTACATTGTTGTAGCAATTGAACATTCTAAAGATCTGGATAATATGAGAATAGAAGAGATGAAAAGCAGTCTAGAGGCGCAAGAGTTGCGTCTGGCTGAAAGAACTTCTGAGAGAGAGGTTGAGCAGGCTCTAAAGGCTTCTTTTGTCAAGAAGGACCAGAAGCAGAAAAAACATGGTAGGTCTCAGAAGTCAAAAGTCTTCTACTCTGATGAGAATGGAAAGGAGAAGTATGACAAGAGAATGGTTCAATGTTACTGTTGTAATAGGTTTGGCCCTTTTGCTAAATATTGTTGGTCAAACAAAGAAGAAGAAAAAATAACCATATGAGATTCTGAGGATGAACTTGTGCTATTAAAGGCTTATGAATCTGATGAGGAACCTGTGAGATTGTCATTTTCTAATTCTGAAGGGGAAGAAGATGACTCTGGAGACTCTGACTTTGGAGTGTTTGAATATGAGTCAGAATCAGAAGATGAATCTGAAGTTTCTGAAGATGAGTCAGAGTTAGAAGATGACTCTGAAGCTGAAGACAAGACAAAATCCGAAGGTGATTTTGAGTCTGAAGAAGAATCAGAAGATGAGTCAGAATCTGAAGAAGATTCTGCTTCTGAAGAAGATTCTAAACTTGGAAATTCTGAAGAAGAGTCAGAGTCAGAAGATGATTCTAGAGACTCTGAATATGATTCAGATGGTGTATCTGATTTTGATCCAGATTTTGATGATGATCCAAAATCTGGTGGTGATCATGTTTTTGGAAGGGAAAACTATGAAGACGTTGGATCTGGAGGACAAGCTTCTGGAGTTAATCACGTTTCTAGTGGTAATCATGACTCTGAAGGTAGATCTTTTGAAGGTAGATCTTCTGAAGGAAGAGCTTCTAAATATAGTCCAGCCTTTGATAGTGGTCATGATTACGAAAGTGGAACTTCTGAATGCAGAGGTTTTGAAGTGATATAATTTTTGAAGGTAGTGCTTCTAAAGGTAGTGGTTCTGGAAGAGGTCCATAATCTAACAAAGGTGGATCTTCTAGTGGTAATCAAACTTCTGAATAAATTCCAGAAGGAGATATTGTTCCAGAATCAGAAGGAGATTTTGAACAAGTCCAGAGGCAACAACGAATAAGGAAAATACAAAGGAGATTTGCAGAGTTTGACATATTGCAAGATACTGAAGGGACTGTGAGGTATGGAGTGTTGTTCCCTCCTGGTGTTAAATCCGACTTAGAGTTCACATGCTATTCACACTCTGATTTGTATGGAGACGGAGTTAACAGAAGAAATACTTCTGGGCATATTTGATTGTATCTTGAAAGTCCTATTTGTTGGTGCTCCAAGAAGCATTTGGTGGTTGCATTGTCAACCTATGAAGCTCTCAAGAAGAAAGTGTGGCTGAAGTCCATAAAAGAAGATCTTGATGCTATTGAAAGAAACAAGACTTGAGAGTTGAGTGAGATTTCGAAGGAGATGAAAAACATCAGCGTCATATGGGTTTTCAGGGAGAAATGTGCATTTCTAAATGGAGTATTAGAAGTTTCACATTGTAACAACCAGAAGCAACTTGCAGATGTTCTAACGAAGGATATCAAGATTGAACACCATATCCATTTGAGGGATGTAATTGGTGTTGTTGTTTTTTGGTTAGCTGAATATGAATTAAGGGATTGTGTTGAAATTAGTTCATATTAAGAAGCAGTTGTTAGAATAAGAAGCTTCTGATGTATTACTCATAAGAAGTCTTGCTCAGAAGCAGTAGAGCTTCTGAGGTTGTTAGTCAAAAGTTGTTACCAGTCAGAAGCAGAAGCTTCTGATGCTAGGCCCATAAGTATGTTTAGCTTCTGGGGTTCTACTTCTTTTGTTAGCGTAGATATTAAGTTTAGTTTGCTTATTTATTATGTTTACCTTTTGTTAGAGCCTACGTGGCAATTTATTTTGTGTATAAATAGACTAGTGGTAGTTGTCATAAAAATGTTCAATCATTTTTCCTTACAACTTTATAGCCGTCATTGCAGAACTTTAATATTACTCTCTCATACCTTTTCTTCATTTATTAACCTTGTGCACTAACGAATCGTAAAGTAATCACAAAATATCTAATTTGTGCTCGTAATTACAATCGTCCTAAATATTTGAAATAATCTTTAATTATTATTTTATGTGTAATAAATGGAATCAAATAAAAAAGGTAAGGAGTTAAAGATCAACAAAATCAAAGCATAAGAACCCCTTGGAAAATAGGATAAATAAATAAGAGAATGGTTAAAGGCATCGTATGAATTTCTACCACACCCTCATAAAATAACAAAAATACTCCTAGATTCTGAAAATGCATCTTCGGACGTACACAAGTACACACAAGTCATTTGTTTTTGAGCTACGCCACAATTATATGATTAAAGTGATTATGAAAATGTAGCAACCCAAAAATATGTGTGTCTAGAATCACATAATATTATATGTTAAACATGGTACGAAACATAGTACAATAGCAATATTACATATGTACATAAGTTTGCATCCGTACAAGGCATGCCCCAAAATAGTACAAAATGTAACAAAAACAGATTAATATAATAAAAGGTACAACGAAAGATATAACTATGCTAAAGTAAGGTCTTCATAAGAGCATTTTCAAGTTGCCTTGGCCTTATCTTTAGAACCTGAGTGAGTACCTCTAAGCATGATAATAAGATGAGGTGAAATATAACTATTTCAGTGACGTTCTCCTATCTTAAGAGTCCACTCGGTCAAAAGGATTCTTAATCATCATTATGACTCTAGTAAAACATCCCTCTTGCGGATATTGCATCAAATCCGAAGTAATCCGAAATTAGTCCACTTTCAAGTCTAAGGTTACGTACTTAAATTATATAACACACATATATGATTCTCCAACAATTGGTAAATCGTTAGTCATTAGTGGTTAGTCGTTAACATGAAATCAGGATTTACTAATATTATGGCAGAGGCATTCCTAGAAGCAGCTAAAACTAGGATACATGTGAGGCTAAGTAAGTAATCTGTTATAATCATCGAATTCATGATCATAAGTCACTGATTTTCTACTTATATAGCTAATTCATACCCTCTAAGCATCTAACAATTAGAGTACCTATGAAGC